GAGAGAAGATGAAAGAAAGATATAAGCTGCAGAAAGTTCATGCGAAAACATTGATTGAGGAAGTACGTGAAAGGTGTAGAATAGAAGCGGACGAGAGGTTGTCGCACAACTTTAAGGAAAACTCCAAACTCTTCTGGAAAGAGGTCGGAAGGTCCCGGAGTGATGCGACAGCCTTAAGAATGAACAAAGTGCTTTCGGACGTGCGTGCGGACGTCATGCAGCGATGGAGTGAATTTTACAGAGAAATGTATGCGTGTCATGATCTTAGTGAAGGATCCGGGGGTGACGCCGTGACTGGCACGCCAGACAAGGACCTCGATGACACTGAGGTCATCAGCATGAAAGAGATTGAACGAGCGATTCGAAGTTTGAAATGTGGTAAAGCTGCGGGACTAGACAGAGTTACTGCTGAAATGGTCAAGAACAGTGGGCCTCGCGTCTGGGACAGCTTTCGTCTGCTGTGTAATTTGAGCTGGCGGACGGGAGATGGCCCGGATGATTGGCGATCCGCGGTCATTGTGCCTTTATATAAAGGTAAAGATTCACATTTTGACTGCGGGTGCTATCGGGCGATCAGCTTGCACAGTTTAGCAAGTAAAGTTTACTCGAAGGTTTTGACACGTAGGATGCAAGAGAAATCAGAAAGATTCTTATGGGAGGCACAATGCGGATTTAGACCTGGAAGAGCATGCACGGATCAAATGTTTTCTCTCCGCATGATCACGGAAAAGCTTATGAGTGTTAACCAGAAGATTTTCTGTTCTTTTGTGGATCTGGAGAAAGCATTTGATAAGGTTATAAGGAAGAAAATGTGGGAACTGTTGCCGGGATATGGTGTGGATGGTCGATTGTTAAGGGCTGTGCAGTCACTTTACTATGACTGTAAAGCCTTTGTGCGGGTAGGGCATGACCTGTCACCCATGTTTAGCGTCCAAGCGGGCGTAAAACAGGGTTGTGTCATGTTTTCCTGGCTGTTCATACTGTATCTCGACAGCTGTTTACAGAAGCTGGAAAATAGCTGTTTGGGTGTGAAATTGGGTGACATTAAAGTAAATTGTCAGCTGTATGCTGATGATGCAGTGCTTATTGCACCATCAGAAGCAGAAATGCAGGCTTTAGTCACGTGTATGAAAGAGGAATGTGAAATTAAAGGTCTCCGTTTGAATGCTAATAAAACTAAGGTTCTGGTATTTGAAAAGGACGAAGAGAGAACGAAATGTGAAATATGGGTAAATCAGGAATGTCTAGAACAGGTAAATGAAATTGTATACTTGGGGAGTGCTTTCAGCCGGGATGGAAGATGTGATTTAGATGTGAATAGGCGTGTCGCTGCCGGAAACAAAGTCAATGGTGCCCTGAATGCATTAGTCAAAAGGCAAGGCGTGGTAAAGAGTGCACGCCTTGCAATACATAACGCAGTGTTGGTACAGACTTTGTTATATGGCAGCGAAACCTGGGTATGCCAGAAGAAGCATAAAAGCAAGTTGAATGCGGTGGAGATGCGATCTCTTCGTAAAATGAGTGGCGTTACCATAGCCGGTCGAAAGCGAAACGAAGAGATTCGCAATATGGCAGGATTGAAAGATGACCTTATCACAAAAATTGATAGGGGCGTACTCCAATGGTGAAGAAAATATATAGAGCGAAAGTAAATATTAAAAGGTGTCCAGGTAGACCGAGACTAACTTTCGAAGACCATGTGAGCAAATTGCTCGAAGAGGGGAAGGTCAAGAGTACTCGGATACCTAGACGTGCATGTATGAAGAAGTTATATGAACCTGAAAGAAGCGAAAGAGGTATGTAAGGATCGTGACACTTGGCGATCTGTTCTCTCTGGCTACCCCGTTAGGGATTGTGCGTGAAGATAAGTAAGTAAGTATAATCTATACAATGCGCCGAGTTAACTCGGTAAAAATTTAATTTTGAACAAATTCACTCGATTCACTCGAGTGAAATAAACATGTTAGAGTTGCATCATTATGGTAAGAACAAAATGAAGTCTGTAGTTAAATATTGTTGATGGTCGCACAAACGTACAATTAATACGTGTTTGATTTTTATTTACAAGCATTACAAGACTAATGTTTAAGAGAATATGGATATTATCAATTATCATGAAATTCTTTCAGAACTCTTTTTATTTTTTGTGGTACAAACTATAGGTGTAAATTAATATAAGAGTTTATTAATTTACACCTATAGTTTGTGAAAATCTATTATTAACTTTGTTGGATTACCTAAAACAAAAACAGATAACAAACAGGTCTTAAAAATAAAAATCATTAAAAAACATTAGTTTGTTAAAAGTGACAAAGTATTAAGTTTATGTTATTACTAAAATATAAATTAAATAATAAATACAATAAATACACAAAATAAGTTATTATAATATTAAAAGAAAATTAGAATCTTTGGGTCGAAATAAAAACAGTAACCACAGTTAAAACTACATATTAATGAATTTTATGTTTGTAGAAGCTTTACATATAAATTATTTTTACCATAAGCACTGAAACGACATAGCGCATGGCGGAACACTCAACTAATTATACATCATTTCAAATTGCACTGCGTCAACAAGATGCTGTTGCGTTGCGGCCGCACTACGCTCACGTACTCATATATGAGTATTCTTTATTCAAAAGTATTAGATTGGATGTTGGAAGAAAACGTTTATAATATCTCACAACGCAAAGAGAAAAAGCTCATGACGATGAACTACTACATTATGAATGAAACTTTTTTTATAGAATTGAGGATAACGAACGAGCACACAGTCCACTTGTTTGTGAGCGATTGCCCATAAACACATTAATCATCAATGAAGAATCAAAATAATTGATTGAATTGTTGTCACCTTCGAGAGCTAAGCATGTCTCAGTAGAAAGTATTTCTAGTTCTTTAATATGAAATATTATTCTGTATTTCACGTTGGCATTCCGTGCGAGCATGGTGCTTCTTCGGTTGAGTCGTTGAGTGAGTTGAGCTGCAATACTCGCTGCAGCAAGGCATTACGATGCCGCATATTCAATGAATAGTTACAACATAACACATGTAAACTTGTCGTTTATGAAAATGTCACATTTTATATATTGTTTTTAAGCCTCTCGCTTTTTAAATATTTTTCATTATTCATAGTTTATAAAATGAAGAACTTATAGACGTTAGCATACATTTAATTGTTTTGATATATTTTTATAAGATTTTATTTTATTAAGATATTTGATATATTTTAAGAGACGTCAACTAATTTTTATTATTTAATTATTTCAAATTTAACTGCAACTGTTAATTTAAATTAAATTCCCCGCCTATACAGTGAAGTTGACGGCAAGAGTAAATTGTCAGTCCTTTTACCCCTACTTAGATTGTGGTGCAATAGCTGGCCGTAAGTTTGTAATCATACCGTAAGTCTCAGCGGTAAATTTTTCTTAAAATTATTGCTTAGCACAAACAAGAACCCCCCCCCCCCCCCTCCAGAACAAGCCTGTTTCCGAATAGGCGGAGACAGAGACAGAGACCACATCCACACCCTTCGCCAAATGATGTAGAAGGCCAAGCCAACCTGCCAGTTTGCATTGCGTGTGTGGAGTATGAAAAAGCTTTTGATTCCATCGAAATTAGACCAGTCCTACAATCACTTCAGTAGTATCAAATTGACCGATAGTATATCGAAATACAACTCAAGTGTTTGTACAGTAGGGCCACGATGGTTATTCGAAAACAAAGCGTGAGTATGAAACCCGTCCAACTGCAGAAAGGTGTAAGACACGGTGACGTTATACCCTTGAAATGCGTCACCGCTACATCGGAAGACGTTTTCAAGCTACTGGACTAACAAGGATATAGTATTAACATCAATAGCGAGTAAAGCACCCATCTTCAAAGAATCCAGAAATTCCGTAACGAAAAAACCTCACGCTCCCCACTCCGACGGGCACGGAGGTGTGGCGTTGAAAGCCGTGCATCGTCTAACGTCGTTTCAGTTCGGCAGACTTCGGCACTCGGCAGACTTCGGCACGGTGTTTGTGTGCGTGCGACTAGAATGCGTGTACACTAGCTGCTAACTCAATGATAAAAAATCCTGAATAACCTACATGTATTGTAAGATATTAAAAATATTTTAAACAATATTAACTTCTCATTTATTAATTAAGAGAAAAAAAATTGTTTTCTTATCGGTCACCACGCTCAAAAAGTGTAACTTGATTTAATATCAAAGACTTAACTGCATAAATAAAATAAATAAATAATTATAATTGCATAAGTTGATAAAAAATACTATGCAATAGCTTTACCGCGGCAGTCACCGAGTGCCACACGTATTTTTTTTTAGTAGTACGTAAAGTGGCTGTAAAATGGTACTCAAATTGGTCGCGAAACGGCTATAAAAATTGACCATTCCTAAAAATGACCGTAGTTCCGAAATATCTTTGGGTGGTGACATCAACAGAATCGATTCTATCTTGTCAGGATCGGGGTGGATTCCCTCTTTATTCATTACATAACCCAAATAATTAACTTTTTCTACAAAAAAATTCACATTTTTCCCTTTTTTAATTTAAGACCGTACTCTTTCAATTTATCTAGCACTTTACGTAAAGTATGTATATGGTTTTCGATAGTATCCGAAGCGATCAAAACTTCATCTAAAAATACTACAACCCCTTCGATATCTTTTAACAAGTTAACCATTATCTTTGAAAAATTCCTGGACTGGATGCTAAGCCGAAAACAAGTCTGTTGTACATAAACAAACCGCGATGGGTGTTAATTACTGTGTACTTTTTGGTATCGTCAAGCTCGATCTGATTGTATGCCTGTGATAAGTCTATTTTGTCAGTGTGTAAGTCGTCAATTTTAGGCACTGGGTACTTGTAGACAGATAAGACACGATTGAGGGTAACCTTGTAATCCGCGCATATTCGAATAGCTCCATCCGATTTATTGACAATAACGAGAGGAGTCGCCCAGTTCGAGCACTCGACGGGCTCAATGACGCCTGCGCGCAGCATGGCATCCAGCTCGGCGTCCACGCGCTCCCGCAGCGCGTAGGGCAGCGGCCACGCGCGGCAGAACACCGGGGCCGCGTCCGCGCGCACCGCCAGCCGAGCCCGCCCGCCCGTGAAGCGTCCCAGCCCGCCGTCGAACAACTCAGCATAACTGAAAAACAATTCATTTACGGCATGAGATACATTCATGGCTGATTCGTTTAACACGTTTACATTAAATTTTGGTACGCTGATATCAAGTTCTGACAACCACTGTCTGCCTAATAAAGTAGTAGTACCGTTATTGATAACATATAAGTCTAAAACTTTGCTAGACCGCCCATATGTCACATTAACCTCGCAGTAACCTAGTGGCTTTATTTTTGTTCCATCATAAAAGGTTAGTGCTAAATCACATGGTAATAATGGTAAATGATTATGTGTATCTTCATACGTGGTTTTACTAATACACGACAACGCCGAGCCAGTGTCTATTTCCATGTTTTAAGTTATGTCCACTCACTAATAAACACAAACTCACCGGCTTGTACCGTGACAGCGACATTGCATCACCGGTTCTTCCTCGGGTGCCTCGTGGTAGACACTCAATGCCGCCTCATCGTCTGCATTGACATAATTTGTTTTCTTTCCAAAGCCCTGCACATTCGCCGCGTTCCCGTTGTAGGCGCCCGGCGCCACCGACAGGTTATTTGTGAAACACACGCGTTGTAGGTGGTCCATCACGCCACACTTGCTGCATATGTAGGTTCTGAACTTGCACTCGCTGGCAACATGGTCAACACCTCCGCAAGCTCCGCATAGCGAACCGCGCACATCCGCGCGGCCTGCGCCGACGCCGCCGCCACCGCCTCACGCCACTGCGCTGTGCCGGGTATGGCGGGCTCGCTGGCCGACGCGCATGGCGTTCAGCCTCCCGTTTGCCCCGCCGCCGCCCTCGAAGTGCAGCTGACCCGCGGCCTGCGATGACGTCACCGCTGCGCCCGACTCCACGAGCGCCGCGTCCCGCTCCGCTGCCTCCAGCGATCCTGCTAAAATCACTGCCTTGTCATAGGACAATAATTTTTCTTCCGCTAATAATCTCTGCCGTATGACGTCACTTCGAAGTCCGCACACCAACTGATCCCGTAAATTGTCCTGTAGGACTGCACCTTTCCTTCATTGAGTTGGCAAGCATTTACTTTTTAAGACATTATACTTAAATATATCATTCGAATATAAATAAATTATGATCATAGATCCACCAATTTTGTTCTTATTTTTACAAACGTTACCTCCACACTAGGATTTTCTCCTGTATCGTGGGGGCAGTTTATTAATATAATTTTCACAAGGACAAATATTCAGACCTGCACCAATCACTTGTAGGCTATACAAATACTTGTTCCGTGCGGGCTTCGAACCCGCTGCCCTTAACGCTGTAACTCATTGCTAAGCCACGCCAGCCGTCAATTTTCATAATACTATTTGTGTTGTGAGTTGACGGTTTATTTTAGTAGAGGTATGTAAGTTTTGTTTTATGTGTATGTTTCTATCTTCATTACTATACTACTATATATTTCTATTTTCACACTGAAAATTCTGCGCTTCTGGCTGCTCATAAATATTTGAATTTCGAATGTTATATTTTTTAAATAAAAAAACTCATATATTGACTGAATTATTTTTGGTGAGAAATTATGTATCAATTGTTTTTTATCACTAGTTGAAGATCGTCATGCGTAGCAAAAAGGAGCGATTATATTCTTTGAGCGATTATATTTTTATAAATTCACTCTCTCCGCAAGGTTGCAGTACTCGTCTTTAAAATGCTTTTGAGCGAGAAGCACCTCAACTGAGCACCGTAATGGGCACGAACGGCAGAATTTGATTGTGGCCCCGTTATTCACCATGATAAAATTTGTGAAGGTCGATCCCTAATTGCCATCACTGAGGAAAATGTGGGTGGGTCAGGCGACTAATTGTTAATTGGGCATTGGTATGAGCCAAATAAAAAAACATCAATGTTTAAAAGTTAGAAAACTTTGTTGCCACCGGATTCTTGAATAACTCACGCCAAAACAAAAATGGCATTGCAATAATTAGTAAAGTTGAGATACTGCAACGCCAGACGCCACAGTGAAAAAACAGACTTTCCAAAAGAGGAAATAAATAATAAATAATTGAGCTTAAAAAAAGTCATGATACAAAATTTTAAAGATTGGAATTACAGTCGGGAGCTTTTTATTTTAAAATGTATATAAAGCAGCAGCTATGCCTCCATTCTTTAAGGTGAAATTAGGTGTTAATTAACGTAAAAATAAAGTTCATTATTTGTTAAGTGACTTTAGGTAAATAATTGTAATTACGTTTTAAACAATGTTCGTGTGTATATCTAGGATCAAAATGAAACTCATCAGACCGTGCATGACGTGCGACGTAAGGGATTTAATACTTGAAAGCGATGTTAAGTGACTTAGATGTTACGTCATATGCGGGGCATATTGGTACAAACCCTTCGATCAATGATATTATTGATCGAAGTACAAACCCTATTTCACACGTTCAGTAGCACATAAATTACCCATTAATGACGTTCGTGACCAATTTCCGTAACCATAGAAACCTAAGGGACTTAATTTAAGTGATCGCTTAACTTAGTTTAATGAGACCAAATTTGATTTTTATTCTTATTAACAAAAAAGGTTTCTACATATTAGATAAATATTCCGTGATTGTAGAGTGATGCTGCAGCTGTAACATCATGGTTGTAGCACGAATGGTCCACACAGAATACCAGCGTAACATAGCAGCTTAATGTTGCTGTGTTTCTTATAGTAATGTGCAGAGAACTGGAGACTTTTTTTGTAAACGGAGCATCCTATCTTAGTTCTCGGGGGAGACAACACATCTGCATTATTATTTGTAATCGAGGATAGATGTAGATGTTTACGGGCACGACATCAACCAGCATCCTTTTATCATAAGGTGGACTGTGTGCTCGTTTGTTACTCTTATTCTATAAAAATAATAATTAGTAAAATTTAATGCATATTACCGTATATAGATATCAGTCACATACATCCAGTCTCCCTGTACATTATATTCGAATACGTAGGAACTTAATTTAAAAAAATTCTTCAATTTCGTAGAATTATTTATAGTATAATTTAATTAAATAATAATAACTATATATGCTTAAAACTAGTAATACTAATAAATACTTATTCACAAGTAATATAAATTTGCAATCAAAAATAATACAAAACTTTGAGGGTTGGAACCTTTATGTCATCATCATCATTACAGCCCATTTCAAGTTTACTCTTTCAAAGCTTAATTAAGATCTTTAAAAATTGCAGATAATTAATGCATTTCTAGATATAGATTTAATTTACTAATCCCCAACCATACGACACATTTTAGTGTTTTAATTTTAAGTCGATAAGCTTAGAAGGAAAATTAAAATCATTACCTGTTACCAACTAAAATAACGAGTTCAGGCTTCTGAAAGACTCCTTCAACAGAGCAAATAATGTTCAAAAATCCATCATTTAGTCGATCTTGAATCATGTCGAATCTTATTTCAGGCACTGAAAAAGTTAGTTATTTAGTTTATTTTAATGTACAAATAACGATATATACTCATTTTATATAAAATTGTCATTGAGCCTCTTCCCAATACCTTAATAAATTCATTAGCAGTAAAATAATTTTCGTGGCCATAAGATCCCAGTCCAACAGAATTAGTCAGACCAAAGTTTGTGCACTCAAAGCCCAAGTGTGTGCACAGTACAGGTGCATTCACTATTCCCTCTCTCATATTCCGGTGGGACAGCAATCCGACAAGACTGGAGACAAATCAGGCGCAGGCTCAACTGCCCTACGTTATTTTCGAGGCGCGATAGTGAAAAATAGCCAACTTCCTGACTCCGGATTACTACTGAGAATTTCTTGATAACAACACATAATAACTGATTTTGAACGGACCCGGGATCCGAACCCCGGACCACAAAATCAGCAGTCGCGCTTATCACCAATATACCAACGAGGTAGCCAAAATGAAATAAATATATCATCATATGAATATGTTAAAATGAAATATTAAAAATAATAATAATAAAAAACTGTTTGTTCATTAGTATGACAGTTTAAATTACTTAAATTTAATGGACTGGTTAATGGCTGCAGTAGTTGCTGCTAAAATAGTGGTTCAATGATGTTGTGTTCCTTATGGTAAGTAACCACAACCGAAGACCATTTTCATTGGTAATTTAGCACTCCGGGTTGATATAATATTTTAAATCTCATTCAGGGATAGATGTAGGCCACAGCATTTACATATTGTTATTGTTAAAGTCTTGTGTTCGGTTAAATGCTATTATCTAATGCTATTTGGTTCAAAAGACGAATAAAATTAATTTAAAGTCAACGATTACGAAAAATATTTGTATGTATTTATAAATCATCGTGCCTAAAGCAGCCTTGTAAGTCAGTCGACTTTGTAGTGTACTCAGGCGACATCAAATTTAACGATTATGACTTAGACTTGGAATGATTCTGGTAGACTTTGATAGTCTGTTATGCAATTACGGGAAATAAATGTTTAATAATTCTTTTAAAAATATCTTTTAAAAAATTAGATTAAAACCAGATTATATCTATACTACCTAATAAAGTTAAAGGCATTCGATCGGGTCTGGCACAAAGCGCTTCTGTCAAAGCTACCTTTCTATGGGCTTCCCGAGAAATTGTGCGAATGGGTCACTAGTTTTCTTGCTAATCGGAGCATCAAGATCGTAGTAGACGGTGCATGCTCTGATAACAAGCCTATTAACGCTGGTATTCCACAACGCTGCGTGCTATCACCAAAGCTGTTTCTTCTGCATATCAATAATATGTTGCAAACTGATAACATTTATTACTATGCGGACGAAAGCACTGGTGATGCTTTTACACCGACCGTGTTAATATTTCTCAGGAATCATCGTCGAGTACCGGAACAAACTTGTGTCTGAAGTCAAGTCTTTTCTTAACAAAGTCTCAGATTAGGGGCGACTAAATCTAGTCCAATTCAATCCCCAGAAGACACAAGTTTGCGCGTTAACCGCTAAATATAACCCTTTTGTCGTATCTCCTCATTTTGAAAGCACTCCCCTTGCTGCTGCAGCTGGCATCAGAACCCTCGTCGTCGACATATCGAATTGTGTGCAGTTTCGTGGTCACTTGGACGGGAAGGCTAAATTGGCCTCTGCAAAGCTTGGCGTACTCAGCAGAGTGGGCACATCGCTTGCAACTTTACAAAGCGCAAGTTCAGCCTCACATGGAATACTGTTATCTCTGAGCCGGGGCACCCAGTGCCAGCTCCTTCCACTTGACCGCATCCAGCGCAGAGCGGTTCAAATTGTCGACGACCGAGTTATTTCTGATCGGCTCGATTTACTGGCGCTGCGGAGGGATGTAGTATCCCTTTGCGTTTTCTATCGTATCTACCATAGGGAGTGTTCTAAGGAATTTTTGGAGTAGTTTCACATCGCGTCAAAATTCCTGATACCATCCTTACCATCTGGATACTTGGCAGTCCACTACTGTACGTTTCACTAGGAGTTTTCTTCCTCGTACAACTTCTTTGTGGAATTGTTTACCACCGGCGACTTTTCCGGACCGATACGACTTAAGGACCTTCAAGAAAAGAGCTTACTCTTCATCATTACTACCTAAAAGTCCACTGCTGGACAAAGGACATCTCTTATAAGGAGATGTATTTTAAGACACACTTCTAAGGAGATGCCATAAAATACTTAGACTGGTCACCATCAGAAGCGTCAAAGGTGCGGCACGCGTGTTACTTCGATCGTCAATCTCTCTGTCAAGATCAGTAACGTAGCGTCTGCCAATACTTGTAATAAAATAATTAAAAATATGAAAGTATTTCGCTTTATACAAATTAACAAGTTATTTTGATTTCTCATCCATCATTACCTTGTGAGATTCATTTCACCTCACTTTTAAATTATTTTAAAATATTTATTTTAGATAAAAAAATCTTATTCTATTGAAAAGTGGATTCTCTATACATATGTGGCTGATGGTAGTTACTCGCTACAGCCTTATCTGCCACATAGTCGCCACTGACTCACTGTTTTATTCTAGTCATAATTGGATGTACCCAATGTAAGCAGCATCGTCGACGTCGTATAAGCGAGGTATTGTAGTAGCTCGATCAAAGCTTCCGTCCCGTTACACCGTAAGACTGCACTGTAGACAGTGTTAACAGAGTTATAAATTGTGGCGGCCACTTACCACTTGACGCGATCACCAAACACCGCTAAAAGCCAAATCATTTTTCCGTAACAACGCAAATGTTTCGAAAATTTTTTTCACTGGTACTAACTTTTGAATTTCTTCTATAAGCTTAAACTCCCACGATATCAACCAGCATGATGTAAAAATATAATAAATTTAAGGGAAGGAATATTTTTAAAATATTTTAACGATAAATGAAGATGTCAAACGTTTTGACAGGAAGTGATCACTTAATTTACCCTACAGATATATAAAACATTCATCAATAAAGAATAATTTATTAAGCTATTCAATCATTCAAAGATAGTATATTTGGGTCATTTGGAAACTTTTCCAAAACTGCTAAAATGTTCAATGGTCAAAGTTTTTGTATTAAATCTTTTCTAAAAAGCAGTATCTCTACTAAGATTCATGTTACTGAAACCAATTTCGAAACAAACTTTCAGTCCTCCTCAGACACTTACAACCTTCTTCAACCCTACTAGTACGTCTTCCGACGATGAAAACTGAAAACTTTTCAGCTGAATTTTTATTTAGTCCTTTGTCTAATATCTAAATCTATCTAATATTTAATCCTTTGAATTAATCACAGTCATACATATTTTTCATATAGTACACTAAGTCTTTATTCCCCCTATCCGTTTAAGTTTCATCCAAATACGAGGGTGGATTGAAAAGTACTCGGCCTAACACAGATCCATTCAATTCTAAAAAATCAAATCTACCCACATTATTTAGTTCAGTTCAGATTAGTTCATTGTGTGAAGTTCGAAACGTGTGCGATAATTAGTTGTGATTTTATAAATTTATTAACAAAGTAATCGGACATAATTTCCGCGAATGGAGCAAATCGAGCAGCGTGCCGTCATTAAGTACCTCCATAAGAAGGGGCTATCATCAAAAGCATCCATGATGACATGGTCAGTACATTAGGCGATTGTGCTCTGTCATATTTATCCGTCAAAAAATGGATAGCAGAATTTAAGCGTGGTAGAGAGAGTGTGAAAGATGAACCCCGCTCTGGAAGGCCTTCGACGTCAACTACTGACGAAAATATTAAAAAAGTACTTGATTTAATAATGGGAGACCGCAGATTAAAAATTAGAGAGATAGCCGAGATTATAGGCATCTCTTATGAACGAACTCAAAACATCATTGTCAACGAGTTGGGTTGCCACAAGGTGTCTGCGAGGTGGGTTCCGCGACTGCTTTCAGTTGAACAAAAAAAGGACGCGATTGACTATTTCACGCGACTGTTTGGAGTTATTTGAAGCCGATGCAGATGATTTTTTGAATCGTTTTGTTACTATGGGCGAAACATGGGTTCATTACTGTACACCGGAAACAAAACAACAATCAAAACAGTGGAGAAGACCTGGTTCACCACCCCCTAAAAAGGCTAAGTCGATTTTGTCGGCAAATAAGGTGATGGCTTCAGTATTCTGGGACTCGAAAGGTGTGATTATGATTGATTATCTTGAAAGGGGTCAGACTATAAACTCCGATTACTACTGCACCTTACTACGTCGTTTACGAGAGGAAATAAAAGAAAAACGTCGAGGAATGCTCAGAAGAAAAGTCCTGTTTCATCAAGATAACGCCCGTGTTCACACGTCAGTACAGTCAATGGCTGAAATTCACAACTGTGGCTTTGAACTGTTACCGCATCCGCCGTATTCACCTGATCTGGCACCATCAGACTTCTTTCTGTTCCCTAACTTAAAAAAGCACTTGGGAGGTCAAAGATTTTCGACAAACGACGAGGTCACAGCAGCTGTAGACGCATATTTTGACTCTAAGGAAGAATCATTGTTTTTCAACTGTCTAAATGCTTGGAAGGGGAGGTGGCAAAAGTGTATTGAACTTGATGGTGATTATGTAGAAAAATAAAAATATAACTGATTTAGTATGTGTTTATTTTCTTGGTTAGGCCGAGTACTTTTCAATCCACCCTCGTATCACGAGGCTCGGTGCGCCAGCGGTGGATAAAGTTAAAGTTACACGAAGTAATTTCCGTTTTGTCACATCTGACATAGCGCACTGTTGCATTAATAAACACCTCTATAATACAATCGCAAAATTACAAAAAACTGCATAATTACCAACCAAATGTAATTTGTGTCACAAATTTCAATGTTCCTTAATGTTTGTTGGTCAAATAAACGTTTCTTTCTTTCTTTTCTTTCTCAGTTCATGGGTCAACAGCTCTCAACAGCTCAACAGAACAAGAATACACCTCTTTATTTTAGGAACTTTTTTGCGCTACTTTTATTTCAATTCGCTCGGAAGACGGATCGGCGATCATAATATATGTTTTTTTTTTATAAAATTGAAACGATAAACCTACAGTCCACCTGACAGACCTGACCTCCAAATAACTTCAAATAAAGATGGCTACATATTGTGCGTAAAATGAAATGCCTCACAGCAGTTCACGAACAGCAATTTGGTAGGTCAGAAGTGGGTACCATGTGGATTCCTAGCCAGAAAAAAGTCCTAGCACCTATAACCGTTTCACACCTTGGTCGAAACGTGGCGGGTTTCACTAATCAGTCCAAATTGATGTATATACGTCCAGCTATGTTCTCGTAAGGATTGATTACGGGTGCGTTAAATTATAATGTTATTATGACTAGCGTTCAGTGTTTTATTATACCAAATAGAACTAGAAACCTAAATAAAATCTTATGTACTTCCCTCAGATAAGCACGGGCTTCCTCCTAGTTTTGGGTTATAATTGTTTAATAATATTATTTAATTTTTCAGCTGTCATAATATACATTTTCTTTTTAATCATTTGATAACAATCTTACAACATCTAAATTAGTATTTACGCTATAAACATAAGCTATACAGCTTTATTGTATACCGATAAGCCATTAACACTATACGTAATACCTACTTCTTTGGGTATAACTCTGTCCCATAGTACCAGAAGTCTAATGCCCCAATAGGAAACCCGCATGACTGAGGAATAAAAAAATTTCGAGATGATGTTGTGAAGTCCGGAAAAACGTATGAGGAAGCGCGAAGGATTAACAACTACTGCTCCTTTCTAACTGTACTTTACTTTAGTGACTAAAACAGCCATGTAAAAAGTTACAGCCCATATAAGTCCCATTGCTGGGCACAGGCCCCCCCCCCCCTCTTTTCTGAGAGGAGTTTAGGGCAACGAAATGTCCGCCTCGCTGCCCCAGTGTATGTTGATGAACTTCATATGTTTGTCTTTAAAATATTTTTTTCTTATTTCTCAGATATGTAATATTCGCTGCACTAAACATGAAAAAAAATTAATGAAGGATGATAACGAGCACAGAGGCGACCTGACAGTAAAAAGATGCTGTGGCGCATACACACCTACATCTATCTTCGATTAAGAATTAAACCTGAGGCGATGTCCCCTGAGGACTAAATATAATAATACCTCGTACCCGGCAAAAAGAGTCACCGGTTCTCTAGCCTTACCATACGTAACACAGCAGCATTGAATTGCTCTTTCATGTTAGTATTCCCAGAGCGTAATTTGTCCCTTAGTCGAGTTGACTTATTTCTGGTTCAACCCTAATATAGCTGTAGCATGAGCCATATAAAAAATAAATTATATACAAAAATACACTTACCAAAAATTGTCATACCTCGGCTAGAAACGTTGATACAACACACGTATAATTTCTCGTAAGTTCTGTCCCAGGTTGTAATATCCGCAAAGCTCTGTGTTGAGTATAAGGGTTGTGTGATACTTTATATGACAAATCTAACTGGAATTAGTGTAAGAGAAAATTGTAGCATTTTATAATTATGAAGAAATTAACATAATAAGAACTTCGTTACTCTGTTTGCACAATCCTCTATTATGCTGTGGAGTCGTTTTACTAAATTTGTTAAGCTAAAAACAGACCGACATCCAGATTCGGAATAATTACTAGTAGGCCATATACACTTGTTCTGTGCGGAATTCAAACCCAAGGAACAGCCAAGCGCTCAGGCACTGTGCTATTGAACCTCAAATGCTCAAAAATTTACGGCGTTTTTGTCATACTTATCATATTTTTCGAAAAAAAAAATTAAGTTGTAAAATATCCCGCAAATGGCGGTATATCGAAATATCCATCTTACCATTTATCCCCAAAATTATTTCACGTAAATTTACAAGTTAATTAGTACACAATAAATAAAAAATTTATTCATATTCATTAATTTATTCATTGCAGTCCACTTATTGTTCACTTGTGATTTTTTGCGTTAACGACTACTGAACATATGGCCATTTCCCACTGATTGTCTCACAGGCGTATTTGTAATGGTTGCCACGCTTTACAGGGTGATTGGGAAAAGCAGTTTTATTATATTATTATAGTCCGCCGGTTGAGCGGTAGGGCAGTAAAGGTGTGCTATCACTATGTGAAATTCTGACAAAAATTCAGAAAATGTCGTTTCATTGTTTCAATATTTTAATTCCTTTTCAATAAATTTTATAAAAAAAAAACAAACATTATTTCTTAATAAACCTAAAGCTTGAGGTTTCTGTGGACGTATTCATTGATGCCCACGCTGCGATCGGTCCATGTAAAACCATTTTACTGATAATCCTGTTACTTTGTTGTTATGTAATCGCAGTCCAGCGTCACCGCGTCTCTAGTTCCATATTGAATGACTTCGGGTACTCGTATGTTGACGGATTGTACACCTGTAAGCAAACACCCAATTGAAAAAAATCGGAATGGAAGATCATTTTTTTTAATTTACGTTTTTCTCAACATTAACCAACATATTAAAAAAACATAATATGTTGGTGTAGAAGAAAAAAAATGACACAACCTGGACTCAATTGATAGTAATTTATTAATACGTTTTATATTTACATTGTCGAGTAATACTCAACGCGTCACCTAACGGAAACGTCAGATTTACTTCTACTGGACCAGCTAGTATTTTATAATACGAAACCTACCAAAATCTTAGTAGGTTTTTAGATCGGCTAACGATTTTTACGACACGAGTATGATGGAATAGAAGAGTAGTTGCAAGGTCTATGGAAGTACATCAACTGTCACTAGCAGATCTATTTACGTGATATGAAGGGGTTAATGAGCAGTATAAAACTTTGAGGGTATTTGTGCCACATGCGCAGTACGCCGGTGTTCCTATTAAGATTTTAGTTCATTTTTGGATACAGACTAAACCTTTAACGTAATGTACCACGTTGTTGCTATTGCTTACTTTTTTATCGGAAAGAAAGAAATAGGGTATGATAGTTGCGAAGAAGCCTAATAGTATACTTATTTTACCATCACGCATTTTTGAAAAGAGGTGTGATATAGGTTAGATAAAATGTTAAAAGAAAGACAATTTATGGAAGGGATATATCTTCAATTTATGGAGCTTTTAATTTACTGTAATGAATAAATGAAAAAACAAAAAACATACGTATAATACTACAATTAAATTAGAATTCCTATATTGCATTTGCATTGGAAAAAAGGCTCTACAATACCAGTAGGTTATAACGACCGTTAAAAAGATTTAATTTTCGTTTATTAGTATTATATAAAAAGTAACCATTTTATCCATAACTAATAAAGTATAAGAGGAAATTGCGTCAATTTCTTAAACTGGTAGTGATAATATCATAAAAATTTATGTTCATGTTGAACAAAACTTTACTACAAAAGGTACAAGTACTGCAAATTAAATTAATACATTTTTATATCATTACGACATTTTACTTCGACAAAAACAATATACCAAGAAACGAAATGACAAAACATCAAACAATTATTCATCAATAACACATCTATATTACAATATATATAAAATCACACATAACATGATCCATTCAAATATAACATTCACCACAAAAGGAGAAACACTAACATACTCATCACGCCGCTCAAACTATATTGTATTACCAAATATTCGCACTAATTATGAAAAAAATTCCGTAACATTTGCGGGAGCACAGTTGTATAATAAACTCACTTCAATTATAAAACACGCTAGTTCGCTCAAAATTTTCAAAAAAAAAAATATTAGACCATTAAAAAACAAGACATTATATATAACTTGGACCACCGTCTTATGTTATCAATACTTGAAACATTGCTCTTACGCAGAAAAAAAAAAAAAAAAAAAAAAAAAAAAAAAATAAAATTAAAAAATAAAAAAAAAAAAAAAAAAAAAAAAAAAAAAGTTAAATTTTTCAAAATAAAAAAAAATTTAGAGGAAAAAAAAAAAAAAATGTTTAGAAAAAAAAAAAAAAAAGAGTTAACTTGAAACTTCTATTTAATTTTGATCTACCATAATTTATGTTTACTATCTTACTATATTGTTCTGTGTGATTCATTTTAAATTGTATGAATGTACTCATGTAAGTGACATTAGTCTTAATGAGTAAATAAAGATATTTAAACCGAAAATTTAATATTTCGAGATGAAAGCAGACTTATAAGGGCTTACACCAAATTATTCCACCTAATTATTTTAAGATAATTTAAAAGTCTACTTGCGTCTTCTGCAATCGTATCCCGATTTATCAATAACCCGAAAAATAATAATTTTTAGACCCGAAAATTTATGTTTAAGCGGACCGAACTATATTATCAGTTTCTAAACGACTTTGCATATAAAACGAGCTCGGTCCTGCTAACAAGGTGCTGGTCGCTCTTCGAGCTGAACATCTCGCCTTGTGGGTGATTATCCTTTTTTCGGACGGCCTATTTAGTCAAAAAAATTAGGACGGCGTTAAATGATATCAGAACAAAAAATTGCTAGGTAAACCGTTCACAAAATTATAGTGGTAACAATTTGCGTACGAAACAAGTTTTTGTATACTTATTCCACAAATGAAATAACAATTTCAAATAATTTATTGTACCTGTCATTAATTCTCACCACTTCTAGAGTTGATTGCTTGATATGCAGTATGTCCGTCCTTTGAAATCTTTAAATTGATAAGGTTTGAAAAATAAATAAATAAATTACTCTTTTAAGTTTAGGTTCTTTTAGGTTGCCTCCACGATATAAGAAAAATTGCTTGCGTAGAAGTATAGATTTGTAAAATAAAAATAAATATTTCTGTAACTATTAATACATCAAGAGCTGAAAGTCTATTTCATTAAATATAAATATATGACAGAGTGTCAACCACGTTATGGGTCACTATTGACGAGACCTTCAGAAATTCCCACAGTACAGCACCCACACACAGGACTGCCGCAGACTGATCATGATATTTTATTGATCACTTTCATTTTTTTTCATTTTTTTATAATGTTAAAGTTTTTTGAATATTTATTTAACAAAGCTTCTATAAGTATGTTCACATACAAGCAATATCAATAACTAAACTAACATAAAGTTAAAGCACACGTTCATGCTAGGATGCAACTGTAAACAACACGTAAGTCCCAGTCGTTCACGTTGTCACTGTTCTGACTGGTTATCCGGCGTCGGTTTGTACGCAATACGTCGACGGGAGTTGTATTCAAACGTTAAAATTTCTAACCAACAACTGTATGCTGATCTACGTATTTAAATTATCCACAGCTACATCAAAACTACATATCGTAAACACCGGCCCCTATGCAATGTCAATAAAAATATATAATAAAATACCAGAATGTATCAAAAGCACTAAAAGCCTTAAAAAGTTCAAAAAGGAAGTTAAATACTTACATATTTAACGAAAAGGTGTTATTACTTGTTGCAGGAGTTTTTTAAGGATTGAGTAGGAAATATAAGCTATGTGTAAAGATTCATTAATTGATAATTTTAATAAAAATTACCACAATGTAAATGTAATACTAATAATATTAATGATTGCCAACATTTGCAGTTCCCTTGCAGGGTTCTTGTTTTGAACTATTTTTTGTAATGATTACCAAATTTATACAAGAATAGCAAATAAATTGAATTGAATATTTTATGTAAGAGACACTGTTCGTTTATATATGTGTATATTTTTTATATATTATGTTAGTTGAATGCAGTACATAACAAATGAATTTAAAAAAATGACATTTGATAGTTATGTTCAACTGACCTACTAAAATATGCTTAGAGAAACATAATTTCTAAATTAATCTTACATTATTTAGTTACAAATTTAGTTTAATCTAATTAAATTTATTTATGTATTTTTTATATTTACACAAATGCTGCACATTTAATGAAACTAATTTTACAGATTTTCAACGTGTTTTATTAGTTTCATTTAAGTGTAATATCTGTCGAAACGAAAACATTTTGACACTGTTTGAGCGATCGCTATGAATATTACTACATATTATAACATGTATATATTTCTTCATGAAGAAGGTTTAATGCTATCTACTTTGTTGTTACTAACTACTAGACGGTGCTGGAATTCATCAACTTCTGTACTGCTCAATCGATCGGCAAAAATTACCTTTACTCCACGTCAATTTCATCAATAATAATAAAAAATAAAAATAAATAAATAAAACTGACGATTCATGTGACTGGTATGGTCTAATAGGAGATCTGTTACGGTCTTCCGGTGTTATGTTACGGAAACGATTCTCTTCCTAAAACATAGGTGCAAACAAAAATATCCATGAACACCACTTCACCAAAATATACAAAATTTAGTGTGTATCAATGCAAGCATAACACAAATAAATGTATCACCTCGAATACAATTTCCGCTTCCACATCATCACCGGGCTGTTCGCGACGTCCAGGTGGTATAGGAGAGTAAGCCTTAGGTGACGACGCGCGCGCGTCTTCCACCTAAACATACAAAAAGCATATATTAGTCTATTCCGCAAATCTTCTCCTTAAAACATGCAATAGTGTGCTTGCTTGTTTAAACCATTAGAACCGAAATCACAAAAAACGCAATAAGTGTAATGTAAAGAGTAAATCAGACAAAGAAAATGAGATTACTGCAAATCAAAACGTACATAATACCAGTGTTAAACCAAGCATGAAAAACATAATACCAGAGGTATTAGTGGCGTATAAAAACATATTATTTAAGTTGACTGATATACTTACCTAATATTGTCATTATCGAGCGGGTTTAACAGATCACAGGGTCAGATGAATCAATACTTATCAATATATATGATCGGGTCCATAGAAATGAATAAATGACACATTTACTACTTTATTATTTATATTTGACAATTAATAATAATTTATGTCTATATAAACCCATCTAAAAATTTCAAATAATATAATTTTAATATTTTAAGTGTGGTCCTTCCCCGGTCGAGCCGACCCATTCGTGCTACAACTATACTACTAATATAGCTGCAGCATGGCCATATTAATACATATTGACCATATATTGACTGCATACATGACTGAGAAGAATTACGTCTCATGAAACTTTACTAACGGTATACTACGTGTACATTTATTCTGCACTTGATCATGGTCTTTTACTTTGGGGTAACTATACAGATGCTGTTAAGGCCTTTACAGTCCAAAAGAAATGTATTCGAGCTATGAATGGTTTGGTACCAGATTCATTGTGTAAACCGTATTTTAAAAATTACACATTTTGATGCTGCTATATATGTACATCTTAATTTTAGTATGTTTTGTTAAAAGTAATATACTTTTGTTCACAAAGTTAAGAGATACTGTACAGAGTAACTTGAGGCATACTGAAAGACTGACTCATAGTGTTATGCCAAGCACTTCTCTATAGGAAAAATTGTTCAGCTATGTGTATAAATATTTTCAATGCACAGCCTACAGAGTTTCAATCACTCCCAAAAGCATTTTTTCACAAGATTGTTAAACAATGGCTTAATGAGCAATGCTTCTACTCTGTTGAAGAATATTTAAAATTTATGATTAGGATTAGGCATCGATATTAAAATGAACTAAGTAATTACAATTATATTACTTTAATTAAATTAAATGAAATAAAATGATTATGATGAATTTGTAAATATATTATTTATTATATTAGTTGTGAAAATGTAATAAATATTTATATGTCAACATTATAACAAAACATGCTGGTATTAATTAATTTACCAACGTGTAATGTACCATGTTTTCTGCAAATAAATTATGATTATGATTATTATTTAAGTTGACTGATATAATTAATATCGTCATTATCGAACGGGTCTAACAGATCACCGAGTCAGACGAATCAATACTTATCAATATATATGAAGGGGTCCCTAGATATTAATGAATGACATATTTACTAGTTTATTATTTATATTTGACAATTCTTAATAATAATTAATGTCTATATAAACCCGTATAAAAATAATTTTAAAAGTAATTATTACTATAAAACAACCACAACACCACCAAAAAAAAAAAATTACCAACAAAAAAAAAGAAAAAAAAAAAAAAAAGAAAAAAAAAAAAAAGCAAAACGGATATATAATTAATGATAAGCGTGGTCCTTCCCCAGAATAGCCAATCCATTTGTGCTACAACTATACTATTAATATAGCTGCAGCATAGCTCTACCACATATAAAATATTTTACAATAATAATAATAACAAATTGTAAAACACATAAATGTGGATACTGACCTCATCATCATCTGGCTCAAACTCACTATCCTCCAACAGATCTTCATCATCATCAGCATAAAGCATGTGGATGAAGTCTGCGGGCGGATCATTGTTTGATCTTTAATTTGACATCTGTAATATGTTATAGAATAAATAAATAAAAACACCACACTGTATATCACATGGGTATTCATATCATAATACATGCTAACAAATTATTTCTCTTCTTTTGTAATATAAATAATGCTTATAAAATGGATAATTCATGTAAATATATAATAAAAACATTATCAACAGATCTGTAGAATTTTATTCCGGTACCCCATCATATGACATTAATCCGTGACCATGAAGTACGATATCACACTACACCACAGTAATAATAAATAATAATAATTTTCACACTAAACAATGTCATCATTATCATTTTCATTACAGCCCTTCACAAGTCCACTGCTGAACATAGGCCTTCCTCAAGTAATGCCACAAAGCACGGTCCTAAGCCACCTGCATCCATCGACTTCCTGCATGTCTTACCAGGATACCAGGTCGTCACCCCATCTAGTGGGGGATCGCCCTACACTACGCCAACAAAATACCACCTCTTTATCGATAAAAACTATTGACATATGACGTTACTATTCCAATCACTGCCGAATAATGGATTCAACGCCGTAGTTACATAAAATAAAGCTCAAAATGGCTTGCTGATTGTCGACTGTGGAGACTGCAATTTTATATGTTCCGTACAAGGAATTTGATGTAATTTTATTATGAATAAAAATCATTGTAAACTTCAATATAATACTTGTTTCTGTTTATTTATTATGTTATATTACTTGTTTTGGTGGTTTTACTTCATTACAAAAAGAATTTATTGTATTTTGATAACAAAAAAACATTAAAATTAGGCGTATGTCGGCAGCATGAAAATCACTATTATTTCTACATATGACTCGAAATTTTTTACGTAAAAAAGATAAATTATATTCACACAAAAAACTTTTATAACAATTTTATAATAAAACACTGTACTTACCTTAGAAAAAATCCAAAAAAACAAGGCAGCATTGCACAATAGCAACCACACCCAAATGGCGCAATCATAGATAAATAAATACCTATGTTGAAAGCTAGGCGCAATTTGAAAGCAGAATACCATAGAGGAAAGTAATACGTAAGAATACAAATGTCAAATCATAGAGTAACAAACTTTTTTATTAAACTAGAGAATAGAAAATTTCATGTTGAGCCTATAATGCCAAACTTCTTTATAGAAAAGTAGTCTCTAATTATAAGGCATTATGGGTTAAAGTGCTGTGGGTGTGTGTGGTCGGATCCGACCCCTTGGAATTTGGTGTGGTCGGATCCGACCGCGTGCATATAGAGAGGTTAAACAAATGATATTAAATTGTTGTTGGACAAGGAGTTCTCAGACTTTGGAAAAAAAAGAAAGAATCGAAATGGGATGATATTCAGAAAATGTAGGATATGCTTTTTTGAGTAAAGTAATGATTTGGGCGTTCTTTCGTTGGGAAGGAAAATAAGATGAGGATATGGAAAAATTAAAGATAAAGATTGTAATATATGTCAAAAAATCTAGCAAGGGAATGATCATTTTACGACTGACGTGATCACTTCCGACTGCGTCGGAATGGATCAAGAGTATGTGTTTCCTAACATCAAAATTGCCTAAACACAAATGGAGAAAAGTACAGGAGTGGGAAACGACGAAAGTTGAGTAAGTGTTGTCAATTTTGCCATATGGTCCAAGCAAGAAACTAAATAAATAATTTATGATAATAATAAATTATGATTAAGAATATTTAAATTGACGTTATTTGGAATAGGACATGAACGTGTTTCCCAACTCCAATGGATCTTAAAAAGTTGCAAACACGACATGGATCATCATTTTGTACTGATTTGTGGATGTGGCGGTGTCGTAAATCTATACACATCTTGTTACATTGATTCCGCAGGAGACATTTTTGCGTTATTCTTCCTGCCTATCAAACTTTTAAGATCTTCAGTCAACCACGAAGCTTGAGGATGACGTATTCGCACTGGACGAACAAGAGCATACTGAGCATGATAAAGTTGAACAAAAAGTGAATTAAACAAGTTTGTAAACGCTCAGCGTCTTTTTGTCCAATCCATTTCCTCAAAATTACGCTACAGAAATATCCTCAATTTGGCTTACTATAAAAAAAAAAAATAAATATATATATATATATATATATATATATATATATATATATTAGGAAAAAATGAGTTTTAGAGAGAGGAAGAATATTTAAATGTGCTACTTCTATGAGGGATTTACGGTCTTTTGTACAATTCTTAAAAATATAGGTAATGGGTACAGGCAGCGTCATATAATATATTATGTAGTTATTTTATATTATTATTAGATTATCTTAAAGATGTTGATGATGTCTTATTTTATGGATATTGAATTTATAAATGCGTATTATAACGCCGGTTCCGTTATGTACTGCACGTCGTGGTGTGTAGTAAGTATTCAATAAAAGTTGTATGGTTTGGGCGCTACTCATTTAATGTCTACGCCTTTTCTCCAAAATATAATAACTTTAAATAGTGTTTACAACTAACATTAAAAAAGCATTCCTTTTATATGAAACTATGAAAGAAATAATAAAAAAATTAAATAAAGCTAAGGCAACCTTATTCATTGACGTATTATGGGCGGCCACGTGGGCTCGACTGTTCTTGAAATGTCCAGTGTTCTAGGATACTGAGTTACCAACACATAATTCAAGGTTAGACACTTAAATAATTTTACTGTAAATCACTTCTAAATATTTAATTCTTCGATTAACAATACCAACTGTTGATCGAAGATTTAATTAAATAATCTACAGTTGAGGATATAACCTGTTAAATTCCACTTAGTTAATTGGATTGCGCAAATTTGGCTTCGGTTTCATGGGTTAACGCTTTACAGCGAGGCTTGACCCCTGAGTTAAGTCTTCCTTGTCAAATAACTCTAGACAGGACAACTCTTAGTTTCAACAAAAGAAAACTTGGTACTATATCATAATGAGCCGTGTTGACTATATCATAATGCACTACCCATACCGTCCCGTGGGTGACGCAAGAGGTGACAGAGATAAACAAACCAGTAGCAGCGTCTTCTTAATAACAACTAGAAAAAAACTGCGGTTGACAACGTGGTGACTATGGCAAATATTCTCCTTATGATTTGATCCCTGCCTTATGGGGAGGTCTAAGTTTAGCAATGAGCTTAGACAGTCCGCAATGATTGTGTGTAAAAAATCTATAACGCAATTTATGGGGAGATCTATGTTCCTCCTAGTCTGCCTCTAGACTGCCCCTCCTCTCTATGCCCCATATTTGCCACAACACGCTTGCAAGGTGGGTTGAACACAGAGGTTTTTTTTTATAATTGTTGCGTTCTTATCAGAAAGATGCTGCTTCACATCTCCTGTTTCAGTTGCCCTCTGTCACCCCTTACGACACGCAAGGGGTTGGTATGTGGTGGTACGCCGTGATAAGTATCTGATTAATGTTTTTTTCATAAAAGCAATGTACAATAAAATATAATCAAATACTATGCGTAAATTAAATACGGTTCAATAAATCAATAGCATAACCAAGTAATATATCGACAGTCGTCTATATACTCGTCAGTACCGGGAGGCTTTGCGTACAAGGCATCATCGGTTAAGCCGTTCTTATTTACTGATATTGATATAGGCTCCGCCGACATGACAATTACGTGTCAGATATATTTCACGGAAGTTGATATAGAATTGCTAGAAGTGCTAACTTTCATATGTAAAGTCTCTATTAAAACCATAATAAGAAGTAAGAGTAAAACGTAAACACACGTAACAAGTAAACACATTCAATTCGCAAGCATTCTCGAAGTATTGATTTGAAAATATATCCAGAACTTAATACCAAATATATGACCACTGTCGTATAACAGTTTCGAAGAAGTGTTTTGATTCTTACGGTTTTATATCCGCATACTTTCACAATTCAAGTCCGATAGGTATCACCTAATATAAAGATTTTTTTCTTCTTTACAAAAAGGTGACCAACGGGCGCACAGTTCACCTGATCTTAAGGGAAAGTAGATATAGTAGCCCAAAAACACCTACATATATTCTCGATTAAAACTTAAAGTGCAGATGGACTAAGTTAACTAAGGACACACCTGAGGGTTTACCTGACTGAGGAGAAATGCCTCTTTACCAGTAAAACGGGGTTTTGTCATTCTCTTATCTTACAAAACACAGTGGCATTCGGCTGCTATTATACGGTGATATTCTGTGATAGCTTACTCTTTTGTTGATTCAATTTATTTGGAGTGTAAGGGAAAATATATTAACTTTTACTTTTACTTCTATCGCTAAAGCAAGGCTTTAACATAGTATCTAATTGGCTTCTTAATAATCTCCTACGTTTAAACGCTGATAAAACACAATACATGTTATTTTTAATGAGAAATAATAACATACCAACTCACCTAAATATTTACGCTCATAATTGTAACTCGTATAATGACACTGCATGTGCATGTTCCGCTTTAACAAAAATAGACAATATGAAATACCTAGGTATCACCCTTGATACAAATTTAAATTTCCGCAAGCACATCGATTTACTTTGTGATAGAGTTCGTAAATTAATATATATTTTTAAATATCTGCGTAACATCGCTGACTTTAAATTGATAAGACAGGTTTATTTAGCTTTGTGTCAATCCATACTCACTTATGGCATTACTTCCTGGGGTGGAGCTTCTAAAACAATATTGCTCCCATTAGAACGTGCACAGAGAGCAGTTTTAAAGGTAGCCACTATCCGCCCATTCATGTTTCCTACACATCAACTTTAGTTGGCATGTAGTGTACTAACTGTCCGTCAGTTGTTTATCCTGAACATCATATTAAAACAGCATACCGAACTTCCATTTAACCTGTTAACCAAGCCTAGCTCACAGTAGTGATCGAATTTGATCAGAATTATGTAAACATGTCTACCTATGAAAAAACTATTTTTTCGTTAACAAAACCAAAGTTTTATTATTTTAGTTATATAAGTTTTACAAAACCAAAGACACTATGCAATAGATATTAATATCAAAGACAAAGATATGCTCTTTTATTTTAAACCATAACCTGGCAATGTTTCTTAGAAAAAAAAAAAAGAAATCACTCTGAACTTCCGGCGTTCCACGTGTCACTTTGTTGAAGGTGCTCCGTCTTTTTTATAGAATTTTATATTTGTGTCTGGACTAAAAACGAAAGTATTATACTTTTTTATATTCCTTGTAATATAGTAAACACGTAGATATGTAATTTGTGGTATAAAAAAGTGAAAAGTAAATTGCCAAAAGTACTTCAAATTCCGGAAACCCCTTTTTGGCAGGTGAGTTATAAATGTGTTATTTTTCAAATTCTCATTTGTTTTTAGTGTAAAATGTAAGTAAAAATAGTTTTCGTATATATTTCAAATAACATGACGTTGTATTTATTTCAAATTCACACAAACATATTTTAGAAATATTGTTCGAAATGTCATACAGATAAAATATTATTTTATTATTTTTTTTTTAATTTTTATAATATTTTAATATTTTGGTATGAGTAACGAATGGAAACACATAAAACATAAAAATATACATATTTCCAAACAATTTGATATAAATTTCTCCAAAAACAAAAGTGTAGAATTCAAATTAGTAGTAATTTTGTCACTAAAATTGAAGTATATGCTACTACTATGCTATACAGGGTAATTTACGTATTTTATTACAATTTCTAGCAACCAAAAATAATTTTATTCGATAGTTTATACATTCAACAAGAATTCCTGTAAGTTTTATCCATAAATATTGTCTCAAAGTGAAAATATAGCAAAATTTGCAATATAGCAAAAAATTTGCTAACTTACAAATTTTCCCGCCAAAAAGGTCCCGAGTGAACGGGAGTATAACATGGCGCGCGCTCGCTTGGCGAACAGGCTCAAAATCCATAGACAGGAGAAGAATGGACTTAGTTTGTGTTAACCCTCAAACCAAACACGCATTTGTGAACAAATTTTACATATTTTAGGACCCTTTCTATATAACAAGCTCAACAAGTCACTAAAGGTATATAGTCTAAGTTATAAGAACTGTAATATAAGTGTAAGGGAATTTCTAAATAAATTAAATTACGAAGACACAGAGAAGTTGTTAGAAATTCTAAAATAGTTTGTATTAATTGTAGGTAACAATTAATTGTTATTTAGTTATTTTATTTATTTATTATATAATATAGTTCAATTATTTAAATATCTAGTGTGCTACATTATTAAACCCATTGTGTAAGTGATGTCTGAAACACAGGTACTCAACCTAGTTCAGGCAGGTAGCTAATATTATAAACTTGACTTTTTATTTTTCGTTTGTATATTCTACATTATTAAGCTACACATATAATGATTTCTTATATTTACGCGAACACTATACATTAATTCAAAATTAAAAATAAAAGTAAATAAAAAGTAAAAATAAACGCGATAAAATCCGTAAAAGTAGTTTTAATCAAGCTACACATAGTTTTAATTTTATCATAGTATGTTATTTTTGTTAGACTTATTGTTACTTTATTTAATTGTAATCATATTTATTCCTGTATGTAAACATGTGTAATTGGAAATGAAATAAATATTTATTATTATTATTATTATTGTGGTATCTATATAATTTTCTCACCTGGTGAAAAGATAAATATACATAAATATCAATAAAATAAAATAAACACAAAAACTACATAAATAAATAAGATCCAACCAGATGGGAGCCCTCGGCAGGGGAGACCAAACGGCCGAGGGTTAGGGGGAAAGGGAAAGAAACCGGCGGACGATGCGGGCGGTATCGAGGAGCACCGCCTTCTGCATTTGAGCCCGGAGCGGTCCGTCACGGAGTCCCAGTCGCCTCAGATGACCCGAGAGGCTGACTGGGATTAGCCCATTCGCAGAGACGACTACAGGAATAATTTCGGCCGGCATACCACCCCAGATGTCGGTCACCTCGTGAGCCAGGTCCAGATATTTTGTTCCTTTCTCTGTTTCGGCTTTCACGAGGTTCTCGTCATACGGAATGGTAATGTCGACCAGAAATATCCTTGACTGTGCCCGGTCCATCAGCATAATATCAGGCTTATTCGCAAGAATAGTCCTGTCTGTGATGATGGCCCGGTCCCAGTAGAGCTTGGCGCGGTCATTTTCGAGCACGGCTTCCAGCAAGTACTTGTAATACGGCAATTTTCGGTCCACGAGACCGTATTTCAGAGCGAGCTCCTGGTGTAGAATTCCGGCTACTAGGTTGTGCCTGTGTAAGTACTCAGAGTTAGAAAGCGCCGAACAACCGGAGATGACATGCCTAAGTGACTCCCCGGGATGGCGACAAGCTCGACAGACGTCGACAGTGCCATCCTTTAGGATGTATCTCCGATAGTTGTTGGTCTTAATAATCTGATCCTGTATTGCACAGACAAAACCCTCGGTTTCCCCGAAGAGGTCACCGAAACGTAGCCAGTTGAGGCAGGCGGCTGTATCTACGTGAGGCTCATGTAGAGCCCTGTAGTACCTCCCGTGGAGCTCCTTCTCCTTCCATACGGTTTCCCGGTCGGAAATGCTCTGTACTGCCGGGTCTTGCCATTGCTCGTTGGCTAAGGATAGAGGGGTAAGTCCTTTATCACTAGAAATGACGTCATTATAGAATGGATCATCCGATCTCGCCAGGAAGTAATGACGGAGGCTGCACACTTCGCGATTATGCTCGTTCAGAAAGCCACGCCCACCGTGCTTTCGCGGCAAGTACAGCCTCATTACCGACGATATCGGATGATGCATCCTATGGGACGTCATTGTAGTGCGGACTTTTCTATCCAGGGCGTTAAGTTCAGTCTGACTCCACCTGAGTATGCCAAAGGTATACATGAGGACAGGCATGACCCAACCGTTATATGCGTGTGTCTTATTCACACCGGACAAAGGGCTGTTAAGCACTTCGGTCAAGCGTGCATAAAACACGTCGCAAACTGACTGTTTCATACCAGCCTCATCGATACCGATGTTCTGTGACATACCCAGGTATCGGTATATTTCAGCCTCGGAAAGGGCCCTTTAGTTGACGGGCATAGATAAGTCTACGCCCTCAGAGTTAGCAACCCTTCCCCTTTCAACATGGAGGACCGCACACTTATCCGTCCCCAGCTCCATTCTAATAGAATTGCTAAATTCACAAGTGATGTTTAGCAATTCCATAAGATGGGAGCGACTGGAGGCGAATAACTTTAGGTCATCCATATAGAAAAGGTGGGATACTTTTGCACCTCCTTTACGAAGCTGAAATCCCCTCCCGGAGCCCTCCAGTAAAGTACTGAGAGGGTTCAAAGAGAGGCAGAACCAGATTGGACTCAGACAGTCGCCCTGGAATATACCCCTTCTTACCCTTACGCGGCTTTCCGCAGCCGTCATCCGCTCGCCTAGATGACAGAGGATCGTACTCCACTGCCCCATACACTGCCCGAGGAAGTCTAGAACTGTACAGTCAATCTTGTACAGCTCGAGGATCCTCTTTAGCCATGTATGGGGCACCGAGTCAAATGCCTTTCTGTAATCTATCTAGGCGGCGGAGAAGTTCCGACGGTTGCGTTTCACCACTTTGCCAATGACCGCGTCAATGAGGAATGGTTCCTTGGTTCCACGACCGCCGCCCCGACATTCATTTTGAGCGCGCGACATCACCTGATTAGAGTCCAGGTGACGAGCGATTCTCGCGCTCAAAATGGATGTTAGTGTCTTGTATATGGTCGGTAGACACGTGATGGGGCGGTATTTGCTCGGGTCTGTGGCATCCTGATCTTTAGGAACCAAATGAGTGATTCCAGTAGTGAAGAGGCTTGGGAGCGACTTCTGGTTGAGAGCCTCTTGAAACTGTCGGGCGAGCACAGCGTGACACACCATGAACCCCTTCAGCCAGTAGTGATGCAGCCCGTTAAGCCCCGGACTTTTCCAGTTCGGGGCCCTACGGACCGCCTCAGCTACGTCATCCTGCGTTATGATGACGGGGTCCATGGGCGTAATACCCGCACACTGCCTCGCCACAACTTCCGTCCAAGGGCCCTCGTTGTGGTTTACAGGCTCTGACCACAGGCTGCGCCAGAATGCGACCGTGTCGGCCTGATTTGGTACTGGACCCGTTCCACTTACTATTGGTCGCTCCAATGATTTATAGAGCCTCTTCTGATCACTCTGGAAGAGACGATTCTGGTTGAACCGTGTCGATCTCTCGGTATATCGCCGAATCCGCTTTCCCCAAGCAGCGATTCTTCGCTTCAGGTCGTCTATGCGCTCCGTCAGTTTTTGCATTATATCCGGCTGGGACAAACTAACATTTGTCCCAGCAAACGCCATCCTGACGGTGCGCACAATCCTTGGCCTGGTATTGCCTGACCTGAAGCATATCAGTCTGCCGATGAGGGCCCTAGCCCTTGCGATACGTTCTTCAATTCTTATTCTCCAGGCTGGGATAGCACTACTTTGTCCAGCAGCGCGTCCAGCCGTGGAAAGTTTGACTATAATACGGCAGACTGCCAGTGCGGCGCCAAAAAGAATTGAGTCCGTCTCGCAAAGGTCCTGGCTGGCTTCCAAATAGGTAACCAGCATTGGGTTCAGAGCCCTCACGACAGCCCGATTCTGCTTGCTTAGGGCTAAGCGGGGAAGTCGCGGTCGATTTTCGAGAGGCGTACTGCGCGTTTCTACAATCGCCTCTTCCAATGTACTCCTCATTTGCTCTAGTTCCAGTTCTTGGGCGACTGTTCCATCATCGTCTGAATCAACCACAACTGGCGTGTTCGCGGCGGTATCTACATTTGCCGTTTGCTCAGCAAGTTGTGGCGCCGCATCCTCAGCCGCAGCATTTTCACCCGATGAAGGAACAGCCTCACGTCGTAGCCGTTCGAGTTCGGTAACATAAAATGTATTTGAGCGCAAGATATACCGAACTCGGTCTGCTAGGTTTTGCTCGGTGACGTTTACAGATGGCTCCAGCTCAGCAAAAAGTCGATGCATCCTTGCCCGATACGCAAAACCTCCAGTTTCTCACCCTTTCGCCCTAAAATACGCCCGCAATGCGTTGCTGTTCATCTGGGTTGTCCAACGCATGCGGCGTACTCCACCAGAGGCGGGTGCCGATTGCTGGGCCCGCGAAGACCCTGCCGACACCAAGCCAGCTGGTGGGGATGTTGGATGCGAGGGGCTGCTGGGTGGTCGTGCAGCACCTAGCGCTCGGCTGGCGGTTCGCATGCTGTCGCGTCCAGCGCCAGCTCCAGACGCGCCCTGGCGACCTCCAGGCAGCGGTCCTTTGCGCGTTCTATTTAATTCCATCATCCATTTTTAGGGCGTCATTTAGCGAGAGACGCCCAGACCCTGCGCCATTTCATGGTGAGGCCATGTGCACAAGCGGGCCTTTGCACCTTCAATTTTTGCCGAGGCACGGCACTAACACCTCTTGGCAAGGTGCTGACTGACTGCGCTGATGTAGCGGTTTTGTCACATAACCGTTACAACAGCGGGCGATGAGGTCGTCACTTCCCTACGCCTTTTTATTATATATTATTATTATTATTATCCCTTTTTCTATTATCCTATTATCATTTCCCTTTTATTATTATTATTATTATCCCTTTTATTACATTCCCTTGCTTTTCTACTCACATTTCTAACACGTCTAGGTTATCAATTTATACCACTTCCAGCTGCGGGTGACTGATATATAATACATTTTTTTCTTCTCCCATAGAGAGTATTTCTCAATTCGTAATTCATCACGCTTTGTGGGCGGATTGTCAATCGCATTTTCAAATGTTTCGCATGTTTCACACTTTGATTTGGGTATTTCACGCTTAACGTAAATGAGATGGTTATACCACAATCTTTGGAATGCCATAATATCTTTTGGATTATCCCATAGTTATCTTTTACGATACCCATGATGTGTAATAATGTGAGGGATCCTCTTACGCTGCCATTACACGTTAAGAAGTATATTTATTATTATAAAACGGTTTATCGCAATTAAAAATGAAATCTAATGCGAATATACTAATATTTTTCTAAGTATAATATCATATATGCAAGATGTACCTTCCTGGTTGATGGACGAAACCATAGATATAAGAAATAAGGAGATATGCTCAGTAGTTGAAAATGTATCGGAACCCGGTGTCTCCAGTTGGCCCCTACCACGCGCCAACTACTACATATGCACATCAGTAAAAGCAATAAATACACAATCGCGCACACACTCGCATTTTATAAATCAGAAAATACTACACAACCAATTATAAACCTTATCTCATCATACGCAGCGTGCATTTACCATGCACCGTACAAAACTTATTCACACAAAAACATCTGTCGCTATCATTCACTCACAAAAGCCGGCAGCGGCTGCTTCACGAAACTATCGTGTGAGTGAGAGTATCAGTAAAACACTTATCCATTGCGCTATTAGACCAGCTGATTCACAGGTCGATTTGTACTAAGCAAGCAATGGTTTTTGTTCCTAATGAAAACATTTGATTTGGTTTTTCATCGTGTTTCTAGTACCACGAAGTAATGTTTTAATAAATTGAATAAGAAAAACATTAATATTTTAGTACTTACGTGTGAAATGAGATGCCATCTTTCATGTAATTCAAGTTATTTTTGCAAACAATCACAGAACAACGCGGCATTTTGTCAAAAATCACGAGCAGTGAAGACGTCGCAAGTTGACATTCGACTAATTACCGAAACTGGCATCAGGCCGCTTTGTGGCCAGATGCGTTCGCAAGTGCCACGTCTCCTTGCCATATCTCCTGTTGTTTATATGATCTGAGGACGAAACTCTGGCGAATGAATGATGGCGAAAATTTTATCTACAAATGCTGAACCAAAATGTATATACTTCTCTTATAGAAGTAAGGGTTACTAAAGAACACACAGTCATCTTAATAAGGTAAGTGAAATATGTGGTTAATAGGCATTCATATAAGTTAAAACGTAGATGCGTTGTAATCTCTGAAGATTATGATGAAGTCTGGGTTGCATGGAAAGGGCTCTTCATCACTTGGTATTCAAAACATCGCACAACGTTATTTTCCTTTTATAGACCGGTATGCTGTGCAAGTGTGTCCTCCATTGCCATTATATACCTTCAAACGGAGACATTTTTACTGGAAACGAGAAATTCCATCTTTGTCCTGAATGCACCTGCATTTTAATCGAGGATAGGCTGTAGATGTATAGACAGCCCATAGGGGCTTAAGTACCCACTTACCATCAGATGGGCTGTGTGCTCGTCTGTCACCTTTATTCCAAAAAAAAATTAAAGTAACACATCAGTCACTTCCATACAAACTAACATCTCAGCTTCAATACTCGCGACACGACAACGAATTTCCCTGGAGCGCAATCCACAACAAGCCGCGACGAAGAATAACCAAGTGAACACAAAATGAATATTATCTTACAAATTCCCTTTTCTATATGAACCGAGCACCGTCACGCACTGTCACGGTGTAAGTATGCAAAAATATGGGAACGACTCCTTTACCTTTCATCTGTTAATGCAAAGTAAGAAAATGTGTATTCGTTTGAGAGTATTTTTATCGCTCACAATTTGCATTTGTTACGTAAAATAATGCTTGTGAATAATCCAGTCGTCTTTAGATGATCGCGATTGTTGTCATGAATAGAGAAATATTTCATTTTTTGTTCGGCTTGTAGTCAAAGTGAATAAAAAGTAATATAACTTTTGTTTGAAATTTAATATTTAGGATATTTAGTATGGCATTCTAAAATTAAAAAGAAAAACAAACAAACAAACACAAAAGCACAAACCCAAACCTGATCTATCTCGCAACTAAAACTATTTTTTTAGAGTATACGGGTGACGAACGAGCACACAGTCCAACTGATGGTAATTGTAAAATGGTAACTATGGTCCAAAATGCAGATGGTTTCCAATAATAAGGGTCTATTTATTGTTTACTACATTCACCAAACGAAACAGCAGGTTGGAGCTGCTGTGTCACGCTGGTACTCTTGGTATTCTGTGAGAGCGCAGTCCTGGTCCGGTCGAGCCAACTCATTCGTGCTGCAATCATAAGGTCTGTGCCTCACATAAGTAACATAATAAATCAATAGGTTATTTATAAGAATTAAATAATTTATCAAAATCATAAAAAATTATATAAAGCAATAGCTCCAAATAGGCCATCAAACTGTTTTCAGTTCTACGTAGAAGTGCACGCAACTAGGCGATATTTACAATGTTGTGGCCTGCCGACCTGCAGTTATTAGCTGCAACCACACTCACTCGTCTGTCGTTACGTTAGAACCAAAATGAAAACACAAACATGTTGAAAATATATTTGTCAATATATTTAGAATAATCAATTTCAGTACGAGGTACGAGTAGTGGTTTCACCTCTTTTTAACGCACGGGTATATATTGAAACTGGTGCTTGTTATCATCGAACTAAAAAGGGTTGTTTCACAAAATGTAGGGCTTAACGTATGTTAAAAAATAACAACTACGATGGTCGATACCACTTATACACTGCTGAACGTTATTTTATTCTAAAACAACTTCATACAATGAATCAATCAATTTAACGAACGTTAAAGATCGTAATGTGAAGTGGCGGTGTAAGAACATCCGTCACTCCAGATCGTCTCGTGGTGTCGTAAGCGGCGACAGAGAAACTGAAACACGAGATAGCCAGAAGAATCTTCCTGATAGCAATTAAAAAACTGTGGCATACATCTCGCCTGCCAAGTGTGGTAACTATCATTTGCGTGTAATAACATTGTCAGTAATTTAGGTGAATTATTCATGCAACAATTATTTATTGCAAGCGCCCCACGGTTTTCGTTTACATGTGTTTTAAACGAAAAACGCTTACAAGTATTTTCAAAGATATACAAAAGTACAATCACAAATATGTATGACTAGGTATCTGGATGTGTTGCTAAGAATCTGGGTAGGGCTATAGATCTCTATGGGGCTGGGAGATGTTATTTTATACTTTAAGGAACCCTACACTGAGCGTGTCGGGCCACGCTCAGTGTAGGGTTCCGTAGTTTCCCGTCTGTCACAATAAGTGTTCCCACTTATGAGTTTAAAGGTGGGTATCCATTATGTTCGCGCTCCAGCAGCGCTCCGCGCTCCTGCAACTGCTCCCGGTAGTGGGTACTGTTGTTTCCATTCAAGTTCAAAATGATTTTCCTAGAAAGTCCTTATAAAGTTCTACTTATCAGATTTTTTTCATATTTTCTAAACTTATGGTTCAAAAGTTAGAGAGGGGGGACACATTGTTTTTTACTTTTTGAGCGATTATTTCCGAAATTATTGACATTATCAAAAATGATTTTAGTAAACCCCTATTCATTTTTAAATACCTTTCCAACAATATATCACACGTTAGGGTTGAAATTAAAAAAAACCCCACTTTACATATAGGGGGCCACCCTAATAAAAGATTTTTTTCCAATTTTTATTTTGCCACTTTGTCGACGTGATTGATACACATGTTGGTACCAAATTTCAGCTTTCTAGTGCTAACGGTCACAAAGATTAAGCGAGGACGGACGGACGGACAGACAGACATGGCGAAACTATAAGGGTTCCTGGTTGACTACGGAACCCTAAAAAACGTGATCTATTAGTTTTTTATTTAAAAAGTTTTAATAAATGGGTACTAAAAGTAGCGATCATAATTGTAAATCTAGACCATTCTTGAATCAACTTATATAATCACACACACAGTTACATCAAAAGCCGTTTAGAATGACTTTAGTACATACACATGGCACAGAAGAATTTATATATAAAGATAACAGTCTATTACGTCTCACTATTGGTAATAGGTCTTCTAGAAAAAGAAGAAGAAAGGATAAGGTAGAGTCCGCCGCACTGCTTCAAAAACTTTTAGCGGTTTTCAATTTCTCCGAAATATTATGAAGGTTTCCTTACGTGCTTTTACTTTCATTCGCTGACAAGTATGTGGTAAATCTTTATTTTA